GATCTATACATTTTGAAGATGTTTTCACTAAAACTGTCAAATTTTAAATTTTGAATTTCTGCTGATTTAACTCTTTTCCTTCCATTTTCTTGTTAAAAATATTTTCCCATTCAGGAGAATTTTCTTGTAAAAAAAAAAGAAAATGGTAGTGTCATGAATTTCAGTTTGAAAAAACTGCCTCCTTTTAGCTCTTTTGCAAAGATTTTCAATGTTGCAAGATACAAATGAGCTTCCTGTGAAGAAAAAGCCACAGATATATTATTTATCTGAGTGGCAAAAAGACAAGATCCCAGGTCTTCATTGCAAATAACCAAAACATTTACAAATGGAATTGACTTAAGTGTTAATAACGGTTAGTACAAAACCCCCTCATCAGTAAGAAAGACTCTTAAGAACCTACTTATACAACACACAAGATAGCCAACTATTGAAAAGAATAAAAATTAAACATCAGACCCAAACATGCCTTGCAACCCCCCAGAAGCCGAGGCTGCCGGACGCAGCACCAGAGACGCCTCTGGGGGGAGAAGGAGGGTGGGTGCCCCGTTTACGAGATTTTATTCCTTTTCTGGAATCTTGTATCCCTGACTTTTTACTCATCTGACGGCCTTTTTGAGCCTGCTCCGAATCTGCTTAATTCTTATCCCATCCAGAGTCAAATTTAGCCGACCCAGCAGCCCACAGGAAAGTCTGCAAAAGAGGAAAGTAGAGTTTTTCTCCCTCTCTCCAAATAAAACTCTTGGAAACGGGATTTGAAACGCAGAACATTTCCCAGACTAACACGGACCTTGGCCTGAACTGCTCTTCCGTCCTGGGCCCTGTTGGGTCCCTCACGTCCCTCCTTCTCCCTCCCCTCCAGCCAAGCCCACCGTCACCGTCTCCCCCGCCCAGACGGACCCCGGTTCCCCCAACACCATCCTCCTCTGCACCGCGACCGGCTTCTACCCCCTGGAGATCGACGTCCAGTGGCTGAAGAACGGGCGGCGGGAGAAGGAGGGCGTCGCCTTCGGGGAGGAGCTCCAGAACGGGGACTGGACCTAGCAGCTCCAGGTGCTGCGGGAGACCCAGCCCCAGCGTGGGGACGTCTACGCCTGCAAGGTGG